TTGTATTTAAAACCCACCATAATATATTAGTGATAGCATGAGATGCTTAGCCATTGAGGATTCTTCTGTCTTTCCATGTAGTTTCTTTATGAGTTCTTCTGAGAAATTTTCATTGTGACTGTCTTAACCTCTGTGTATTCATGGAGACCGTATTCTCCCCTAGAGAGAGTGGGGCGGGGGGGGAAACCCAGAGAATTTAGCACAGCACTACAAAATGCAACGGTCCCTGATTTGGTTCCTGCTTATCTGGCTGGGAACAATGGAAGATATTTTCTGTGTACAGAAGCATTTCAAATAGCAGCTAGCCAACCATAAGATATCTGCTCTTACATAAATCTCCTTGGGGAGAAACTTTCAAACAATTTTTTTTGCATTTTTAATGAGCATGCATACTCAGTTGATTTTCACAGAAATTGTCAATTTTTGACATTGTTCTACTTAACCATAAAAGAGCTCACCACACATACACACACACCAATTCTAGGTTAGGTTAAAATAAATAAGACACAGCACAAGAGGAGATATAGTAATATACAGGGTGGTGGAACAGAAGTGGGTTTACAGTTGTTCCTATGGAAAATAATAAATACTAAACTGTTTCATGTACTCACAACTGTAAACCTACTCTTGCCTCACCCTGCATAATCCATTTGAATAGTACAGAAAGATTAGTAAATTCATGTGATTGGCCCAGATGAGGGGGTTAAAAATGACCATGATTCCAGCTTCATTCTAACATGCTCTATTAGAGAGGGCTTGAAACAAAGTATTTTCTGGCTGTAGTTTTAATAATATCTTTTGATTCTTGATAGGTCAAAATAAAAATAATATCTGACCTATTGTTAGAGGTTTTCCTTTTTTTATTTCTCTATTTTGTTTTTATGAAGGGGAGAGGGTTCATTGGCCTAAATTCAGACCTTTTGGAGTTTTTGTGGTTGCTGGGTTTTCCTAGTCATCTAGCCCCGCCCATGTTTTTTTTTTTTTCTTTTTCTCTTAAATACAACCTAAATGATCAGGAATTAACCTGAGTCAATCAATTGGGACCTGGTATGTTATCAGGTTTATCAAGACCTTCTACCAGTTTTCAAAACTATGATTCGTCTTTTGTTAAATAGATGACTAAAAAGATTAGGCGGTTATTCTCTGTATAGTGTTGATCAGAGCATTAAGTTACATGCACTTACAAGAACTCTTAAAATCATATCATAATGCACAGGTAGGCGTACAGAGGAAAAAGATCTTGATCCATTTCCACCCCTCCCTTCTAGCGATGTAGGCAGGTATGTAGAAGGCATCTTTTTCTCCTGGGTAACCTAATCCTCTTACACTGATTATTTTCTTGGGCCATTAGGCTTCAGAAAATGCCGTCTAAAAGCTTCAGTGAGCATGCTCTTCAAAGTAATTAAAGGGTTTAGCCTCAGTTGTCTGAAACCCATTAAAGGATAGTATTTTATCACACAAAGTTAGAGAAATTAATCCGTGATTTTTGCCAATAGCCTTTCCATTGTGTTTTGGGTTACAGGACACTCGAAACTGTCAGGATAGTATTGTGGTTATTGTCGTACTCAGGTTGAAGTAACTCCTGCTCCTTAATATATCTCTGCATATATATGTCTATGACATAACACAAAAACGCCTCTTTACTTAATCTTACTCGTCAGTGGGTGACTAGTTCTGTGCTTCTGAAAGCTTCAATATACCAATAACCTGGGACCTGACTGAATGCTGGTCTGTTTCAGTAGGTCTGGAGAGAGGCCTGAGACTCTGCATTTCCAATAGACTTTCCGGTAATACCCATGTTTCTTCTCCAGGACCTACACTCTAGTCCAGTGGTTCTCAACTTTGGCTGCACTTTAGAATCACCTGGGAATCTTGTTAAAATCCTGATTTCTGGGCTTCATCCTCCAGAAATTCTGTTTCTTTGTTACTAATCAGGCCCAGAAATCAGGATTTTAACAAGATTCCCAGGTGATTCTAATGTGCAGCCGAGGTCGAGAACCCCTGCTCTAGTCCCACGCTGCATCTGTTTTTCAGTCTGGACCCAGAAATGAGCCAGATCCTAATCAAGTAAGGAGGAAATGTTTGCTGAGCTGACTTAGCAACTATAATCAAGCAAAACAAAATTCATGTGAGCTCTCTCTATAAGCTCAGTAGTTTATAAAATTCTCATGCTCCCCTTTTCCAAAAGGGACAGGAGGAAAGACATCTCTTGTGAGGTGCTGAGAGCCAATCAAATTTGAATGGCAGTTAACTCTCAACTTAGGTTAACCTAAGTAACAATGCGTGCAATTACACAAAGAGGGGAATTTCTGTCAGTCAATGAGTTCCAGTGCCAGCACCATGATCTAGAGTCCAATGAAGGTTCAGGCACTCAGCATCACCACCACATGGGGGTCCACATACCACTAGTTTTAGGTCTGTGAGGACTCTGTTCCCAACTGATGAATTCTGCCTTTCAATCGTTGAGGATAAATTATAATTGAACTCTTGGGAGTTGTTTGAAGTGATCGCTTCAATAATTCTCTTTGATCAGCTTGTAGAAAATGGCTTGTTTATTAAGGTTGCCAAATTTGGTTTCAGGTGGACATTAATGGCGGCATCCTCAGCTAGAATTTTTGTAGTATTTACCATAAACCTTTTTCCTTTGTATTTTAAAGAAGAAAATTATCTATGCCAACATTCCAGATTTTCAGGAAATTACTGAGGGTTGGTTCCTGTTTTTTCATCCCTTTCTTTCTCAATTTCCTTATGGCTTGACCAAATTGTGTTAAACAAATTGACATGTCCTTCAGAATAATCTAACCTTTGCTATAGCTTTTTGTACAAAAGTAATTAGTTTTTCCAAGAGACTTACTAATAATGGTATTATAAAGAGGTAGGGAAGGCAGGCTCCATTTGCTGAGTCCCCACTTTGTGAGAGTATCAATGCTAGGGCATGAACATGCAGTAGGACAGTAGGTCATTTTGCTCTCACACTCATCTTAACAGGAATGTTACCATCTCCACATTAAACAGGAGAAAACAGAGGCTCAAAAGTTGTACAACTTGGAGCAGGCTTCAAGGCTAGCAAACAGTGGAGTTGGAATTCAAATGTAAGTTGGTTAATCTAAAATTATGTTTCCTGTACTGTGCCATGCACTTTTTTACAGGTTGACCTTTTGCCACTCTCTACCCCTCAACAGCATTCTGAAGATGTCCACAGCTTTTCACTGCCCCACTAATAAGATGGAATCAAATTCTCTTGAATTCAAAACTTCTTAATTCATATCCTGTTTAACTCTGGACTCATTCTTCCCAACTCCATAAATCCCACCGGCCAACCAGCACAGCCCCTCAACATGCCACACGTAACATTCTGTTCAGAACTGCCTTTCCTCCACTTACTGAGTTTCTACACTTGTTTCATCCCCTCGATCAAGTCCTATCTTTTCTGAGATCTTCTCTTATTCTATCAACTACCATTAAGTTTTTATCTACTGAATTTCTACTAGTTACAACCATAGAATCTGAAACATGTAAAGAAGCTCACAGACCTATTTTCTTCTCCCACTCCTATCCCACCACAAATTCTGTCCTTGGACAGATTAAAGTTGTGTTAGATGCCAGAAATGTTATACCCTGGTGGTGCCCCAATGTTCTGTCCTTCAGTAATACTGTGCTCTGCACTTCACTGCTTTACCTCCCTTAGGTATGGACTCCCAATCTAACACAATTCATTCTATAGCATATGTAGGCTATTTTGCACTATATATCTTGTTACACATGCCTCCTGCCACCACATTTACATGAAGGATGGGACATGGTATCATGTTTCTGGGGCTCCCTGGTTCTTGTATACATACAAGTACTTAATTAATGTATATTGAGAAGAAGGTGAATAATTTTATCATTTCCTTCTTTCACCAGCTCTCCAAAGATAGTTGGTTATTTGTAATGTTGTTGACTTATTTAAGGGAGAAAGTACATGCATTCCTGACCTTTAGAAACTGAGACTCACTTTTACTTGTTATTTATAAAATGGGCAGCTTTACTATCTTTGATGCCATAAGATTTGTATATGATATGTCGTTTATCTTGAAGACTTTTAAAATTTATTGCTAAATATAAAAAAGTTTTAAGAAATGAAGTGGTTAAATTGCTTGAACAAAATTAAGCAAACATATTGCCATCATTTTCTATGTGTACATTTTAAAAGTCTATATGTTGTTTAAAAAGCCATTGAAGGTTTCTAAATGCATTTTTATATATATTCTCAATTTAATCATGACTATAAAACATGTTTTCCTTTGCCCATGTTGCTAAGTGGTTAGAGCACCAGCCTGCACACTGTAGGGTCACTGGTTCGATTTCTGGCCAAGGGCATGCACCTGGGTTGCAAGTTCAATTCCTGGCCCTACACAGGGTGAGTGTGGGAGGCAACAACCAATATGTCTCTCTCACATCCATGTTTCTCCTTTCTCTCCCTCCCACTCTCTTTATAAAAAAACAAAACAAAATCCAATGGGTAAAATATCCTTACTCCTTGGGTGAGGATTAAGAACAAAAATCTTTATTCAGATTTCCTTTTCAGTTTAGATTTTAGTACCAAGAAAAACTCATTCAGGTAATTTAAAATTTTGGAGTCCACATTAAGTTCAATATTGAAAAAAAAATTAAAAAACATTTTTAGAAGGGGAAGAAAGGTGAGGGAGAGATAGAAACATTGGACTGCTGCCTCTTGCAGGCCCCCTACTGGGGATTGAGCCTGCAACCCAGGCACGTGCCCTGATCAGGAATTGAACCTGTGACCTCTTGGTGCATGGGTTGACATTCAACCACTAGGCCACACCGGCTGGGCTGAAAATTTTTTTAGATAAAGGCACCTAATCTACTTAAGAGGTATTTTCAAATAATTATAATGTTCTTATTTTTGCACACTTCTTACAATCACCAATTGGTAGTTTCTAGCTTCTTTCTGGGAATGTTTTCAATAACCAAAGTTAGAAAAGTCCTACTATTTATAGGGGACCTAAGTTCTATTTCCCTTCTGCCATTACCTTTTTGTACTTACTGGGTAAACCCAGCATTTAAAAAGCTATTTGGCAGTATGAACAGAGGAAAGAACAGAGGCAAGTTTTAATTTAAGTAGTGACTATAGATTAATTCCTTGAGAGTGACAACTATTTTTATCAAGATAAGTATTTATCTTAGTAGAAGGTTATTCTTACAGTTCTCGTCCATTTCCAGACATCTTGAATCCACCAAAGGGACACTGGGCAGACACCATGCTATAGCAATTCACCCTGGAAAGAAAGAAAAAAGTATATTATAGATCATAATGAACTAATGAAATAACCCCTAGATCTGGAATTTTAGAAATTCAGCGAGTTCTTTAAGAATTCCATTGATTTCCATATATTCATTGCAATAAGTATAAGTCAGCAATTTTCATCTCATGGCATACATAAATTATTAAAATTCTATGACACACCAAAACACACAGGTATAATTTGCTCACACTGGATGGTTGTTGTGTTGGCTGTTGTCATTTTTTATTTATTTTTACAATCTAAGGGAAAAGAGGTAAGTGCCTCAGACTAAATAGTTAGGTATTCCATGTCTTAAAAATTCCTGTGGCACACTGGTTGAAAATCGCTGGTATATGTATATATACAACATAGAAACATACATAAGGGTACAACTCAGATGTGGATGGCCATTTGGGTAGGATATATGTTCCTCAGAAGTTGTAGTTTGAATTAGAATAGCTTGTATGCCATAGGACAAAGGCTTGCTAGAGACTGGAGTTTGTTGGCTGGGTTACTGCTGACACTCAATTAGCTTATAATTCTCATGAGTTATGTGCTTAACAGACTAGAGTCAATTTTCTTTTGCAATTACAGTATGTATCATGTTACTCAGTTTACTTTTTTTCATTAATTGGTTCAATAACTGCTTAAACTGAGGCTTTGGCAGGAGTTGGATTTCATTATTAACTGTTTACTCCTTGCCATATTTTGGAACAAATATAATTACAAAAACATGAGTGATTAGAACTAAAGAAAAAATTACGATAAAAGATCAAGAAAAGGGGGAATGTAGTTATGCAGGACATGAACAAATTGTTTAGCTTTGAATTTCCTGGCGGTCAAAGTGAACAGTAAAATTTAATTATCGACATGACTCTCATTAAACATAAGAGGAAAACAATATTATTTAAAGGAGGAACAATGTTCTTTTAAAACACTTTTCCTCTCTTTATGCCATTATGATAGGTAAACAATAGTGTACTTCTAGATAAATTATATTATGCTTGGGAGAGTTTGGTTATTAATTGATCCTGAGATAATACTTAGACATTTTCTCAGTTACAGCATTTGCTATCCATTTTCCAGAGTTCCATATTTTCGGTGGACCACAGAGTTCTTATCCAGCCTCTCTTCCTGGAAGATAGTTCTTTAAATAAACTTACACTTTCAAAAGACAACTTGTCTCAGCTTTGTTTAATGATTCTTTCAAATGCAAAATTGAATCATTAATTTGAAATTATGAGTAAAATCCCCAAAACTCTGGAATTCACTAATTATCTGGAAAACACCACGCAGTGACTATTTCTGGGACAATGCCAGAACATCATTGTGTTTTAAGAAATACAATAATAAGAATCTAGTCGCCTCTGTCTTAATAGTAAAGAAATTTCTGACTGGGGATTCCCATGCCACTGGGTGGAATGATGTCATAATTGTGTGATTCCAAAAGTCAAAAACCTAAAACCTTGCCTTTTTTTAAAAGCACTGGAAATGAAACTATGTTAGTGCTAGTAAACAGAGAATAGAGAAAGTATAAGTTCAAAGTGATCAGCCTTGCCAATTGATTCTCTTTTTAAGATTCCTTCTTGGTATAATGGGAGGTGCTCTGCCCACACACTCTGGTTTTGGCTCTCAGAACCTGAGGAACAGTGGGAAAGTTATCTAGCTTCTCTAAGCATGTTTTCTTTTCCCCTCTGTAAAAAGGGCATGGTTATATTTAACAGGGTTGTTCCAAGGTGTAAGATGATGTATAGAATTGTACTTTATATGGTGCTTGATACATAGGAAGTCTTTAGTAAATGGAGATAATAAAATTCATCATTGCTGTTGTATGTGAGTAAGTTAATAAATGTATCATGGGATAATTCTACATTAGTCACCGGCCATACTGATGATTTAATTTTATTAAGAGTCTCTGAAAGACAGCACCGCATTATAGAAAGAATCAGGCTTTTGAGCAGTGGTCCTCTATCCCGGTTACACACGAGAATCATGAAATCTTTGAAAAGTACTCCTTAAATAAAAGAGCTATGCCCAGACTCAGTCACAGAGAGTGACATAATCAGTAGGTTTAATGCACACTCTCCTCACCACAAATCAGTGTATGTATGTTGAATGCTCCTCAGGCGACTCTAAAGTACAGCCAAGGTAGAGAACCACTGCTGTAGAGTTTGAAATAAGTCTGAGTTTCAGCTGTCATTCATTGTGTGATCTTGGTAAGCTTTCGTTTTTTCCACTGGTAAATTTAACATACTTAAGCAGCTGTAATGTAAAACAAGATAATGAATATAAAGAAAGCAGTGCAGTGCCTAGCATCCATACTTGGGGCAAGCAATTTCAGGAGGCTGGAAGGAGTTAAAGAAAATATCCTTCCAAAATCGTAGAGGGTGTGTGAGTGTGTTTTGTTTTTGGTAACAACTGTTTTCCAGCAGGCCATGCGATTCCAAATGAAAAGGATAGAGAAACCTATTCATGTAGTTATCATTGAAAAGCCAGTATTTATAGGTCTGACTTACCACACTGTTCCGGCCTGCAGAGCAGAGGAGACTGTTATGGCTTTATCAAGGTGGTAAAGATTGTGTTATGTTCTCTTTGGAACAAGATGGGACACAAATAAGGCATAATTCGTTTTCTAGAATTGGAATTACTCTTTCAAGAACTTAATGATTATGCATGAAATCATTAACTACAGAGTTGCTTTTCTATTTCGGAACGTTTTAAATTTTCTCCCTAGTTTTCCTCATCTCCCAAGTAACTACATAAACAGCAAACCAAGAAAGCAATGTTTGTTCTACTGGATACATGACTAGGCAATGATTGATGATAATGTTTTAAATATCAGTTTACCATCAATTGAAATATCAACTATTATATTGGTCTTAGACATTTTCATAATCAATCAAGTTAGGTGAAACAACATGAATTTTTGTTCAGATTCTACACGTCAGCCAAGTCTTATTCAACTCACATACCGAACAGAATGATTCATTACTGCCAGAGCTTAAATCCTTATTCACTCCGTACTAACCAAAGCATGAATTCATTGCCAATGATTATAATCACAACACAGGAAACAAATTCACAATTTGCTCATTCTAGCCTGAACACTTTCACTTTTGCTGAACTCTAGTTAGTGCAGCCCAAACTCAACTCATTCTGTATCTTACCTCCTGGTAGGAGAAAAACAACTGGGGTTTCTCTTAAAAAGTAAACTCCTATATTATTGTTCCATAACACATATATTAAAAGTAAAGAGGGTTCCTTTGAGTGTTGCCAGAATTTTCTGGGAAATGTCAACTAGAGAAGACAAAAATCGGAAAGGATAGTTTTCTGATGTTCATCTCCTCTAAGTGTAGGAGGGGGAAGCTACCATTCAGTAGAGGCTGAGTATAAATCTGAAGGTTATAAATCTAAGGATATTGGCCTGTGAACCAGCTACTGTAATAGATGTATTAATATATTACATAATTTTAATTGAACACAGCATCTGGCCCCAGGCTCCTACTTTATATATATAGATTTCAGAGAGGAAGGGAGAGGGAAAGGTAGAAACATCAATAATGAGAATCATTGATTGTCTGCCTCCTAAGGATTAGGGATCTAGCCCACAACCAGGCATATGTCCTAACTGGGAATTAAACCGCGACCTCCTGGATCATAGGTCAACGCTCAACCACTGAGCCACCACGGCCTGGCCAGGCTCCTACTTTGAAGTAACACACAAGCTGTTCTACCATGAATATTGTAGGAACACAATACATGCTTGAAGTTTTTTTTCTAATAAGACAAATATTTGAAATCAGCAAATGCAAGTTATAATTCAGTGGAGGGCTGAACTGATGTGGAGAAAAGAAGTTGTTTGATTATCCATATGCATTTGTTTTTTTGTGTTTTTTCCCCCTCCTATTTATTTCCTGTTTGCAGATCGGAAATGATTCTGCACTTTCCCCCTAATTTGATGACATTTTGAGAAAGAAAATAACCCGCTTAGATTCTCTGTCATTTCATAAACTTGAAATAAACATTTGTTGAATGAACAGAATATGAAAAAAATACAGAGAAACTGGACCACTCATATATGGCTAATGGGAATGTGAAATCTCTCAGCCACTCTAGAAAACAGTTGGGAAGTTTCTTAAACTGCATTTAACATATGACTCAGCTATTGTACTCCTGGGCATTTATACCGGAGAAATGAAGACTCATGTTCACACAAAAACCTATACACCAATGTTTATAGCAATGTTTCCCAAACTGGAAACAACCCAAAAGTTCTTCAATGGGCGAGCAGTTAAACAAACTGTGGTACATCATATTATGGAATACTACTCAGCAATAAAAAGGAAACACTATTCTTACATGTAACACCTAGATGAATCTATATAGAGAGAATTGTGTTGAGTGAAAAAAAGTGAATCCCGAAAGGTTACATGAAGTATGATTTCACTTGTTTGACATTCTTATGATGACAAAATTATAGAAATAGGGAATAATTTTGTGGTGAAGAGAAAGCCAAGGTTGGGTCGAAGGGACATGGATTAGGCTATTAAATGGAAGCATGAAGGTGTCATGTGGTGAAATGTGGTTCTGTGTCTTAATTGTTTCAATGTCAACATACTTGCTGTGATACTATAGTCTTGCAAGATGTTACCATTGAAGGAAACTGGATAAAGAGTAGAGGGACTTTTCTGTATTCCTCCTTACTACAGCACCTAAATCTACAGTTATCTCAAAATAAAAAGCTTAAGTAAAAAACTGCATATAATTTATCCTTTCCCATTATTTTCAAATATTTTCTTTCCAAAGGAGAAAAAGCAATATTAAAGAGGGACAATTTTCTTTTCCATTACTTTAAGCCTGTGAAGGAAGCATCTAGAAATTGTTAAGCATTCTGATCTGTATTTGGCTGGATATTGTTGGCCTACCCAATACATTCCTTACTATTTTTAGTCTTGATCACAACTTTAAACCTTTATCAATAACAGAAATAAAAAGTAACATTTACTGAGAAAGGTGTTCAAAGAGAGAATTTTCAAGGGACACTGTGTACACACCCGCAGACAAAATGTGGCAATAGAGGGAACAGAGCAGAATGAAGCCATTTACCTCCTCCTTGGCAATGCGCATCTCATCGGTGACATTAGAGAAGACCGTGGGCTGGATGAAGTAGCCTTTGTTCCCCCAGGGGCCTCCACCACATTCCAGCTTGGCCCCTTCCTTCTTCCCACTCTCGATGAGGTCAAGTATTTTTTCATATTGTTCCTTATCAATCTATTTGAAAAATACCACATGAAAAGGAAAAGAAATTTAACAACTTGTAGAGAAAATAATTGCGAGGCCTGTTACGGAGGGCTTCAGAATGCTTTAAGTCAAATAATCAACACAGCGGACAGAGGCTCAGATTCATTCTTTGGGTATATTTTATTTTCATATGACTTTTGAAGACTTTTTTGATGACATTTCCATGTATCTTGAAGATAGAGATTTGTATTTAGTATTTTTTTTTTTACAGTTGTCTAAGAAAAGCCTGTTGGCACTGCAAACACATGACTCATTTTTTCACGCTCAAAGAAATGCCTGTTAATAATGAAACACACTGGAAACTAGAGTCCTAACTGAAATAGAAAAAGTGTTAGTAAGAAAAAAGAACTCCGGTACTGGGTTGAATTAGATATAGCAGTTGGAAAGAAGATGCTACGGGACTTTAGGAGGACTCCTGGACCCCTGTCTGTTTCTCATCATGTCTGGACATCCCTCATAGCTGGGTCCATGCTGGCCACGGCCTGGCCATCCTTCCCGGTTCAGGTCCCCTGGGGTAAATAGTAGGTCTGGTTTTAATTTCTGGCCTATTCTGATTGTTGCCATCCCACTTCATTAACTGGGCCACATCTAAACATGCAACAAAAACTACAGAACTTTAATAATGGTTTGTTAAATAATATTTTTATAAGCAGAAAAATGAATGCAGAGTTTTGTCTGGGAACACCCAGAGCACACACCTCCCCTCCACGCACCAGAATGGTGCCACCTGTTGCCTCAGTTCCTACGTTGGGACATTGAGGGGTTGGGTGACTCCTGGACGCCAAACCACTGGTGAAGACTGTTTTGTCTCAGGTGTGGCTGAGGTTTTAAAGGGAAATCTTCAGAGATCGAGGGGTTAAGGTGAGTTACCAGGTTAACTTGTCTTTTCTCACTACTTAAAAAAAAAAGTTGTTCTTTATTTTCTTCTCTGACTCTGAAATCTCCCCCATCTTCCAAGGCCCAATAAAAGGTTTTATAAAGTTCTAACTGCACACAACTCAGCAACCATAGCCAATTAGATTAAATGCTATTTGGAAAGTGGAAACCATTTTCTAAGATTGGCACAACATTCCGTACAATGTTGCTCAATGCTCCTCAGTGCACACTATTTAATGGAATATTCCAAAAACAAAATGTTTCTTCATTTCCATCAGATAAATGAAGCTGTAGTATTGATTTAATAAGAGGTAATATTTAAATTACTGTATAATATTTAATACAACCAGACAAAGAGGTGAGGTTAGGTAGCTCTGCCTGGCAAAGATATTCTGTCAATAAATAGTCAAAGATCCATGCACTTCCTACAAAATTCTCTGGCCTATACATTAATCTGACTATACCTCCAAAAATTATTTTTTTAATCTCATGATGTATCTTTGGTGACAATGCAATCCCTGCTTATGCACTGGCATATAGAAGCTAAAGAATTATTTGTTAGAAAACTTACATGGTCACTAACTTCTAAAATTACAGGAATTCATATTTAATGTCTCGTTCCAGACAATGTGGTCAGACAACCAGCACTACGTTATAGCAAAATGTGACTCCAAAATAAATACAAAGCATAAAGGGATAACACTCAGCCACTTATTACCTTATTTGCCAGCTATTTTCGAGCTTTTATGTCTGAATGTTTGGCATTGCCTAACTCCTAAGATTTTCCTCCTAGGATATCTTGCATGAGCAGGAAACTACAAGACAGCCTTTTAACGTATCTCAGCTCTAAACTTTATGAGGTCGAGTAGCATAACCTGTTTCTTTTGGCATTGCCAGGTACCTATCCCAGGCTTTTGCTGATAACTTGTGGTTAATCAGATTTATCTTTGGCTTAGTGAATAAGTCAATAATAGTGTCCGTCCCCCCCCAAATCAAGTGTGGAACAGCATATATGAATATTGTGGAAGAATAGAGCCTCTGAGCCTAATGTGTAGTCTCTAGAGCAGGATTTCTCAACAGTGGCCCTATTGACCTTTGGGCCAGAAGAATCTTTGATGTGGGGCTCTCCTGTGCACTGTAAGGTGTTAAGTAACATCTCTGGCTTCTACCCACTAGATGACAGTAGAACCACTCCTTGCCCCCAGTTGTGACAACTGGAAATATCTCAAACAATACCAGTTGTCTCTTTGGTGGGGAAGGGGGTGAAATTCTCTGCTCTAGATCAAGATCCCAAAGGGTAGGAGTAAGTTTAGAACCAAAGGTCCAGGAGCTTCCATAACAAAGAACTGGGCAAGGAAGAGGGAAGGGTCACCTTTGGATAAGAGAAAGAGTTAAAGAAAGAGACACTCTTATTGGTGATGGTTCCAGGAAGACAGAAGAAAAAGGGGACCCTAGAGGAATAATCGGTTTTTAACTAAGATGAGAAGTTTGCTACAAACCCAGGAACTCCAGACTTTTCAGGACATGTGTCACCATTAGAGCAACTGAAAGCATTGGAGAGAATTTAGGACTGTGCTGGGTGCCTCTCCCTGTGGGATGGAAGCTGAGACAAAGGACTGATTCTGAGGAAGAACTAAGTGATATCATTGTTTAAGAACTTCCAAGTGGACAGGAAACTGTATATAGAAATCAAGAAGCATGAAGATTGAAGAAAACATGAAATTTATATAATTTGTTATTTTCCCTCACATCTTTAATTCCCAACATGACTGTTAAACTCTTAGATGTAAAAATTGTTGGGAGTTAGATTAATTGTCTTTTAAATCATGCTGTTATAATATTGTCACCTAGGAAGATACTACATATCTGGGAAGTGATGCTATTCAATAAAAACTAGGCTTAAAGAGGACACTTATAGTGTCCCCTGAAAAGGCTATTCCTTCATACTCACCTGAGGGCCTTGACTGACTCCTGGGGTCAGAGGATTTCCAAGAACATACTTTTTAGCTCGCTCAACACTCCTTCGAACAAACTCATCATAAATTGACTCTTCCACAAAAAGCCGGGATGCAGCTATACAACATTGGCCCTGGTGGTAGAATAACCCACGGTGTGCAAATTCAACGGCATTGTCCACTGCAAAGAAGACACTCATGTTAAAAAAAGAGATCTTTTCTAAAGATGATATATTTTTATACACACTTCTCAAAGGCAATAGGGTGTTACAGAAATACCATGAGTCATGTAGTCAGATATTGATTCAATATATTCCACCTCTAATCAGCCAGGTGACAAATTAACCTTTCTAATCCTTTCTGCTTCTGAAATGATGGCAACCAATAGTAGAATCTGAATAAATGTGGTTGTTGACCTTAGTTCCATATGTCTGAGGGTCTCTCTCTCTTCTTAATGTGATGTTAATATTTAAATGTACGGAATTTAAAAACTATGTTGTGGCTCCTAAGTGTAAAACCATTCGTTCATCCAGAGTTCAGCTGGGAGAATAGTAATCTATCCCAAACCAGCAACAAAGAGTGTCTCTGTTAGACTTACCTAGAGTTATCACAGTAGGACAAGTTAAGAGATTTCTGAAGAGTAATTCTGGACTCTGATTAAGGCCTTACACTTTGACGTTAGAAGCAAACCCCTCTGTAAACGTCAAGGTCACTGGATGACATTACCAGACACCAGGAAGGACGGAGAGGGAAAAGTTCACAAGTGGCTTCTACTCACAGTCTGCGTCAGCAAACACAATGCAAGGGCTCTTTCCACCGAGCTCCAGGGTCACCCTCTTCAGATTGCTTTTCCCTGCAGCTTCTTTGATCATCTTGCCAACCTGAAACGGAGCGTTACAAAAGAGGAGGCTCACACTGCTCTCGTGAAGGCAGGCTTATTTAGCATTTTACTTTAATCTGGTTTGGGCCCTTGTTCATTAACCTTCTAGAAGGCCCACCTGGAGCCAGAGAGGCAGAAAAGTTAGGCTGGGCCAGCAACAACCTCCAGGGAAGCTGAGCTGCTGGCCTTTCAGAATGTCCATGGAAGAGAGAGCCCCAAATAAGGAGCTAAGGGTGAGGCTCTGCTGCTTAAGGTTTATAATCGGCAGGGTAAAATTACATTTATTCATACAAATCACTGAAGCCTAATTTATATTTTCTATCATAAACTGGACCTAACCAAATGCCGAGGTCTAACAACTGGTCATATTTCTCATCAGGGAAAGGAATGAGCACACGGAAAGCAGCTCACTTCACTCCTTCTGAGTTGGTAATAGGTATTTCGTTTCATCTCAACCACATCTGCTTATGTTCTATAAACATGCTTGAAGGTTAGAATAAGGAACAAATCATTAAAAAGGAACTTTTGTTTTAAGGAAATGTCAGCTTAAAAACAGTAACATAAAACACACTTCTGACAGCTGGAATATGCAGACCGTCTTAACGACTGGCCTAAGGAAATGATGTTACCTCCGTTGATCCAGTGAAGGCCACTTTGTCTACGTCCATGTGAGAAGAAATGGCAGCCCCTGCAGTTGGCCCATAACCAGGGACAATATTCACAACTCCAGGAGGAAAGCCTGCCTAAAAGATGCGAAGTAAAACAGTTATGACAGAAATGAGAAGAACATGGGATCGAAGCTGCCACTCTGTGTTAACTTTATGAGCTTCCATAGCAAACAAGATCCACTTAAGTGGTTTCACTATTATCATCACTATTGTTATTTCATTTGTTAGCCCACTAAAGTAACCTCAAGGGCCGGTTGCATTGTTGAGGGAACATTTCTTCTCAGGGTAAGTCCATGTTTCACTTTTATAGATCATTGCTCCAGTGATGGCTGTCTCAAATTGCATAATAGCAATACAAAAGGATAATCTGTATAGAAGTGTCTGGTAAATTACTCACATAGAAGGAAAGCAAAAATAAGCAGCTAAAGGGATCCCACATTTTAGTTTCTACCTGTTGATTGTTCAGGGCATAACAACTGGGTTACAAATTCCCATTGGCATTATGTGATCAGTACAATGTTAGATAAGAGCTATCGTCCATTCATGATTAAGGTTCACAGATTGATTTTATTCCTAGTTAAATAATTACCAGGTAGAAAACAGTGTTGCAACCGACATGTGCACATTAAAATTTCATGTTATTTATATCACAATGCCTCGTTTTCTTTAAATTTTATTTTTCAATTACAGTTTACATTCAGTATTATTTTTGATTAGTTTCAAGTGTGCGGCATAATGGTTAGGTAATCACATACATTACAAAGTGATCCCCCCCATATTTCAAGTGCCCACAGCACCATACCGTTATTGCAATATTATTGGCTATATTCCCTATGCTGTGCTGTACATCCCTGAGTCTGTTTTTTCAATTACTAATCTGTATTTCTTAATCCCTTCACCTTTTTTTCACCCAGTTCCTCAACCCTCCATCTGCTTTCTCTTTTCACTTTTTAAAATTTGAAGTGAAGAGTCTTTTTAAAATATGGGTTCAGTATTCCTAAATTTATGTTTCTAGTGACCAAGAAGGTACATCTAGAGGAAGCCACAATAGAAAAGAGAATGTCAACAGATCCCCTTGTGAGTAGATGTGTTTAAAAATAATGTGGTTCAACACGACAAGCAAGCGTATTGGCACAGAGGCCTCCAACCTTCAGATGAACTATTCAGACAATCTGCAGAAACTCCAGACCATTAATGGCAGTTATAAACCAACATCCATTTCAACATTCTAATGAAAATTGTACCAATTTTAATATAAATTTTTCATTCATGAGAGTTGGGATAACAAACAAAAAAGTGATCATGAGACAACTATTTCACATGAAGCCTCTGAGTCTGGCTCCCTGGCTCCCTGGCTCCCTGTGGGCAGAGGTTCATTTTGGTTGGCTGCCCGCGGAGCTGCCAGCCGGCTGCCATGCTAAATGCATCTGAACTGGACAGGAGCCATTGGCAAGCAATGCAGTTTACAGTAGCAGCAAATGAGGTCTTCCTATTGCAAGGCAGGGCTCCTGAGTCTCGTGCATATTTTGATTTAGGAAACTTACCTCTTTTATTAAAGATGCCACGTGAAGAGCAGTGAGAGGAGTTTGCTCTGCCGGTTTGACAACCACTGTGTTTCCGCAGCTGAGGGCAGGCCCGATTTTCCAAATGAACATAACCAACGGGAAATTCCACTAGAAGGCAATAGGAAGCAATAGAGTCTTTGAATTGCTGAAAGTCACAGTCGCTAATCTGACTTCTACATTATACACTTCCTGTAGATGTTAAATAATAATTGTAGTAGGTTTGTTTAATCAGGAGTATTCTAAGTAAATTATTTGCTAAAAGCAACTCATAAATGCTAAGAAGGTTGGGAAGAAACTGGACACAGAAGAGGAGCAAGAGGGGCCCCCAGCATATCAAGTGCTGTTATCCTGAGCTTTTTCTACCAGGAAAAAAACAAAACCACCGCATGGTTTGGAAATCAAGCATTACTATTAAACATACAATAAGTTATATGTAAGTGTTTCAAAATGTGATTATGCCTCTTGCTGTATGCAGATCATCTATTATAACTATTTACCCAGTAACATTAATTAGTAGCATTTATTTCTAAGACAAATATCTTGTTCAAGGCAAATAAGTCTAGGGTCTGAAGGCTGAGAGCTTGGTTCACATCTTAGCTCAACCACCAATCGGCCATGTGAATTCAGACGAGTTGCCTGCTCCCTCAGCATGAGTTCATCACCTGTACATGTTGATGCACATCTTCTCTATCTCAGAAAGCTGTCCTGGAGATTCATGAAGTAGGTGGGCCAAGTACTTAACACACTTGGTTCATCACAGGCGGGCAGTAAATATTAGCTATTATTTGCATTTGAGATTGTGTTGTGTTATGGATTTCATTGGAATTTTTGAACTAAGAAGAAATTTCATTCAAAATGTTGATACGTATACATTTCAATCTCATTGAAGAAGATAAGTCATTGCTACTTCCTCCTCTAGGAACTTTGGGACATTTTACCATCGTTTTATTTGGCCTTTTTAAAATATGACAGTTAAAATGCAATCTAATTAGATAGTTTCCTATTTGTGGGGCTAAAAGAAAATCTTCATAATTCTGCTTTAAAATACTACCTTCTCTATCAGGAATATAAAATATCAAAGCTTCTTATGTAAAGTGAGGCTATATTCCATACAGTGCTCCAACAGTTTCTTCCATTTTAACTTAAAAAATGTACTCAGGATTTGAAAAGAGTATATAATGCTGCTTTTTAAAAACAAAGTCTCAAGAAGAGTATATAATATAGCATTTTAAAAACAAACCATTGAGTAAAAGGTCATTGTTGATGCTGTAATATTGAAACACTCTCAAGAGATATGCAGGATATAGATAGATTTCTGGATTATGTAATTCATTTCCAAGGAACTCAGTCACAGGGAGACACAAGTTCAACAGTTACTACATTTGTCACACATTTGGCAAACATCTAAGCATCCATTTGTGCTGGAGAACGCCTCATTCCCAAATGAAATACAATTAGAATTCATTTTCTTTTTAAGATTGAAAATTAAATAGGAGACCAACTTACAGGAATGATTTGGCCACACACACCAATAGGCTCATGTCTTGTATAAGTAAAAAAGTCTCCATCTAGAAAATAAAACACATTATCATTTATATATAATGTGACTGACATCCATGAAATGGTAATTTGGGGCTGATGTGGGAGGAAGGTACAGACAGCAATAATAAAACAAGATATCTCCAACTATTTGCAAGATAAAAATTTGAGCTTTCAAATTGCAATTTTTAAAATTAAATCTTTATTACTGAAAGCATTACACCCCCATTGACCCCTTCTAGCCCACCCCCACTGTCTGCCCCAGGCCTTCACCCCCCTATTATCTGTGTCCATGGGTTATGCATACATGCATACAAGTTCTTTGATCTCTTCCCACCCCTGCCTTCCCTGAGGTTCCACAGTCTGTTCTATGCTTCAATGTCTCTGGATCTATTTTTCCAGCAGCTTATTTTGTACATTAGATTTCACATTTGAGTCTTACATAGCAATTTGAGATGAGAGAAACCATAAAACTGAACTAGGCCAAAGCCAAAATGCAAAATTGGAAAAGATCTGAAAGATATTTCATTCTCTATCTCACCATACAGGAGGGCTGTTTTCTAAAGCATCCTTATTCTCCAAGTTTCCTTTCTTTCATGAGAAAGGAAGTAAAAGGCGTGTGACTAAGTAAAGAACTATTAAAGTTCTGTTTCTGGAAGCTCTAAGTTCTACCAGTAATGATGGAAAATTTTTTAAATAATATAATTTAAACAATAGTAAAATTGAAAAGTAGCAGAATTAAAAAAAATTCTTCTTAAGAGCAATAAATCTTTCATACTGGCATGTTCTAAAATGTTTTGTTTTGTTTTTGCCTACCAAACAATAAAAGCAAACTCTCTTAATCCATGAAAAAAAATGTCCAAAGTACATTTCAATCTGGACTTGACTTCTTCATATGCCTCAGAGTTTGATGTGGTTGTCCTGAGGTTACATTGTGCTGTGTGTTCTCTGGCCCAGTTCCCACAAAAACTCCCTGGCTCTCATAGCAAGAAGGCTCCTTATCAAAATCTATTGGTAACTTTAACTGACTCCTCCCATTTTGTCAAAGGGTTAAGTAAGAGTTTCTAAAATAGCCACATTTCTTGGTATCACCAGGCTCTCGCTCTCCCCTTTTAACTTCCTGGCTCTCACTTCTAACCTGCTGGATGCTCTAATTACATTGGAAATGCCCATCAGGGCCAGTCCTGGAGAGCGCTCTATTTCTATAGTCAGTAAGTTTATATGAATCAAATTCTACCCATAATGTCTTCTAAAATGATGCTTTTTAAATATTCCTATCCCATCATGTGCATACTCTACTAAGATACTAACACACAAAATATTCAGTCATACAAATTCTTAAATCAGGCTATAAAAACAGTCCCACGTGTGAACTGGTTTAAGTAATCTGATGTAGCTAAACTGAGACCAGGAACAGACGATCATAAAGTGACTCACACATGATATGCAAAGTGGCTTAAATAATTACAATTTAGAAAGGGTACAAGTGCCTCTAGGAATAAAACCTGCATAAATAATTTCCGTGGCCCTCTGAAAAGTTTGGCCCCCTTAGAAAGAAAATTGCCTTAAGTCAGTAATTCAAGCATAATAATGTTCTCACTTTAATATTTTCTAAAACATCTGTAGTGTTATCTTCTGCACGGATTATGCTGAAACAATTTTAAAAGCCAAATGATGAATTGTAGCCGAACTTCCAGGTTCAGAACTGCATTGTCTCAAAGTCGGGAAGACAATAAATTTGCCTTATTTGGTTGACATCTTTAAAGGGGGTGTTTGGAATTATTCAGCTCTACAGAAATCGCCTCAGAGCTACTTACCAATAGGTATTGTGCGGCCCTGGATCTTGTCAGCCCACCCTGCACAGTAGCGTAATGTCTTTATGCAGCCTCCTAAATCCATCAGATATGCATTGGAAAATAGTTTTCCACCATTCATGGCCTCCATTGTCTGGAAAAAATAAAAAAGATCAAACCTCAAATCTAGACTTCTGTAAATTTTTAGATTAAAAATATATAGTTAATATTTTGAATAATGATGCGCTAGTAAATTCTGGAAATAGCAGTCATCTTGTTTAACCTCCTTAAAAAGGAGACTGGAAAGGGAGTTAAAATGACTTGCTTTGATTTGCTTAAGGCCACATAGCAAGATCTAGATAGAAAGGTTAATAAGATTCTGGTTTCTAAACCCTCGTGCTCCTTCTATCCCATTCCCAATGTCCTCCAACTCACCAACTTGCTAGGAAGTGGTCACAATTTGATACATGCACAACCAGTCTCCTTAGACAGTTCAGGGTTCCAACAAGATTTCACTTGTATAATACAAATGCGGCTGGCAATTTTGTGTCAGTGGCTATTAATAATGCTGCAATAATTATTTTTAATTTTTGAATTCCATCTGGATAGAAGCAATCACTTCACACAAAGTTAACAGGCCCCTGGATCTTTCATCAATGAGTTTCTTCAGCAGAATTTTAAATTGTGAAACTCCCAGTTTTGCCACTATTATCATAATTATTGTGTGTGTGTGTTTTTTAAATGTTTTTGTTGATTTTCAGAGAGAGAAAGGGAGAGGGAAAGAAAGGTAGAAACATCAATGATGAGAGAGAATCATCGATCGACTGCCTCCTGCACGCCCCACCTTGGGGATCGAGCTCACAACCCGGGCATGTGCCCTGACTAAGAATTGAACCGTGACCTCCTGGTTCATAGGTCAACGTTCAACCACTGATCCACACTGGCCGGGCTCCTAATTACTGTTTTAATGGTCAGACTGCAAAGTTCAACATTTTCTAGTCTAGTGTCCTAGCATTATCAGATGACCTCTCTCCTCTTTTCCTCCCTTCCTTTGGAATTTAATGCTCTCTGGAGCAGGAAAGTACATGAGATAAGCTATTAAAGCGTTTCTTCATATATAATCTGTCTCTGCCTTATATTGCACACCATCTCAAAATTTAATTACACATAACTTTTGTATGCCTATTCTATTTTTCCACTGAGGATCTTATGATGAGGAAAACAGTCAACTCTCTATAAACCACATATCAGATAAATAAGAGAAGCCAATTTTGGCAAATTCTTTCTTCCTACAGGACATTTTGATTAATGTAGTTTTATTCTATATAACTTCTAATTGCATAATTATATATCTTTTGAATCTTTGAGTAATAAATGGTGTTTTGAGGAACTATAATTGCTAATGTTGACTTTTTAAACAAATGTAGGCCTCTTTGTTACTGTCAGTTAATAGTCTAAAAGTAATAAATATTTACTCTGGAACCTGATCTTATATTGGTTTGCGTTAAATTGGCTTCACTGTAACACCCAATTGAGAAGAAAATAAGGAAGTAATCTCCCCCATCCATTTTATGTGCTTACTCATCTAACTGTTAAAATGTTTTTTAAAAGGTAGTATACATAAAATCATAATTTTTATAAACACATGAATAATTGGATTTTTTCTTTATTCCTCACCTTTTCACCTGTATAAAACACACAATTTAATCAATACCATTGTAAGCACGTTCATTTCAGGAAGGGAAAAAGGAGTCATTTATTAAGTGTCTTGGAGGGCTAGATTAAGGAAAATAAGATTTAGAAATATTTTAGGCACCTTTAAAAAACTCTATAAGATTTTCTACTCAAAGAGGACAGTGGTCAAATAAGTTAGAGAAATCCAGTATATTTATCCAGGATATCCACACTACATGGTACCTTGTTAATCACTCAGAAATTCCAGAGTGAAGGAAAGAAATTTATTTAATTTGGTTTAACTTGGGGTTTGCCAAAGTTTAGACTGTAGAATCTTCTCTTGGAGTAGAAGTTAACATCATCCAGAACTGGAGTACAGATTTCCATCTAAAAACAAACTCAATGGTAACATTCCTATATGAGAGCTGGTAGATAAAGTCTCTTTGTTTTCTTTGTAGAGAGCGTGTAGTGATCACCAAAATCAAAACAACTTGCAATCCAAACAATGGATGCTTTCTAGAGGTCTCACTAGCTGCCTGGTTTGGTGACTACTCACAGCCAGCAGCAGACGATCTCTTTCAATTAAATCCGCCAACTTGTACAGTAGCCGTCCTCTGTCCGAAGCATCCATAGTACGCCAGGGAGAGCCAATCTGAAAAGCCTGTCGTGCAGCCTTCACTGCTTTGTTAACATCCTCCTGCAAGTCAAAGGCAATTCAATTCAGTAGGTTAAACATATTAGCAAATCTGGTGGCAATCTACACTAATAAAAGATAAACATGCAAATTGACCTTACCTTCACTATGCCTTAAGCCACGCCCACCAGCCAATCAGAGCGACTATATGCAAATTAACCTAACCAAGATGGCAGCCGGCAGCCACAGAGCTGGAGCAAGCAGGAGGCTTGGTTGCTCCAGTGATGGAGGAAGCCAAGCTTCCTGGCCAGCTCTGAGCTCCACTGAAGA